CTTACATCAATTGAGTTTTTCTTTTTATCCATTATATAAAGTATACATTTGCATTGCTGAAAGCATGTGTTCAATCTCTTTCTTTAAGTTAGTTGGTTAGTCAGATTCGTTTCGTTAAACACAAGGCTACACAGTGGGCTATCTCTGTTATGCTTACCATGCGTATCAAAACCTGATGACTAATTTATATCGTCCCCCAGTAGCACAGCGGTATGTCTGCGGACTTACAACGCTAGAAACCAGATTTCGATACCCGTGGTGGGCAGAGCACAGATAGCCCATTGTAGCTTTGTGCATAACTACAAACAAACAGACTAAGTTATAAACTTTAGGAATTAGCATCAGGGAGCCAGCCAAGTTAAAATTTAGTTTAAATCTGTAATACGTTTTCTGCCAAACCTAAAGCTAGATGAATTTCTAGTTTTACATGAAAGTGATTAACGTACTTGAGAATACTACACTCAAAATAGAGTAAGGAAATAAATACATGTTAAAAACTGGAATGTCTATACATTTTTAATTCCTTCATAGCAAGATGCTACAAAATCATTAACACAAGCATTTAAGTGATCTATAACTCAAACTTGATGAGTCTGAATGGTACGCACATTTTTTTAAAAAACATGTCAGTGTTTACAGACAACATTAAAACTTTGTTGTCAAATACAAAACTACACAATGGAATATCTTTGCTGTGCCAACTATAGGTATCAAACCCGGTTTTTATACATTGTATTCAAAATTGGCAAGGCTGTAGCAAAAGAGTCTGATTTCAACCACAAGGTGACACTACATGTTATGTTTGAAAATTCTTGTATTTTGACGGAAATAATTCATTATAGAATTAGAAAATAGTATAGTCTTATGAAATTTACTGAAATAAGAAAAAATAGTTTGGCAAATTGTACCCGTTATTAAGAATTAAATAAAAGCAAGATGATATAATTTATTATTATTATTATTTTACTGGAGAGTAATGAGCCATATATATCAACATTTTACTAATCTCATTTGTTCTGAAACACAAGAAAGACAGAAGTTAAACTTTCATCATAGAAAGTGCTACATATTTATGACAATTATTGTTTTTTTTTATAACCAAAAGTTTGTTTGATGGCTGGAACCATTGTCAAACCATTAGCTCATCTGTACTGCTGTTTCCCTGGTCCTCATCACTGACATTGAAGAGTTGTAGGAGTTAACCCATCTTTAACTTTACAGAACTTGGATGCCCCTTGAGATACACCTAGTGGTGCATAACTCTTCTTGGGCTTAGGGATGTAACATTCCCATCGAAGTTGAGAACACATCTGCTGTCTCCTCCTTTAGTCACCATTTTGCACCTCACAATGGATGGTAAGTTTCCTCTTTTCTTTGGTTATCACCTCACTGAGCATTAACGGTGATATTGATTCCTGCTGCTTGACCATTTGGAAGCAAAACTGTTTTAGATGGCAAGGCATTGACTTCAATGATCCAATGCTGGGCACTTCACATCAATATCAGGACGTTCATTAGCCATTATGTGTAGCTCAACCTTAGGAAGATATCAGCATCAACCTGTATACTGAATCTGCGAGCTCTTCTAAATGCTCTATAGTGATGGTAATGCCATCCAGAAGTCATCAAATTCAACTTATTTTTATTTTAGACTGGCAAAATTTAGACGAATCAAGACTTTTATAAGAAAATTATATTTGCCAAGATTAAAATTCATACTGTCACAACTGTACTCCAACACACACTCAGCGAAAGTGGATCTCCTTGTTGTCTAGAATCTAGCATATTTTCCACAAAGACTAATGAACAATCTAGCAAATACGAGGTGGCATATTTTGCAAAATTCTCACCACTCAGACAAATTGTTGAAGTGATCTGAAACATCAATTGATGCTTTGTATCAGAAAATTTACTCAGTCTTCTTTAAGAAACCAAAAGTTTTAAAACCATTTCCCTCGCTGATTTTTTTGAAAACATCATCCTAACATCTCAACATCACTTGATAACTTGGAAACCAAGAAAGGCCACTTCTTTTCAATTCATGATCTTACAGATCAGTGACTGCTCTAACTGTCAATAATCGAGTAGTAGCTGCAAAATGCAGTTCATAATTCTGCCAGACTTTACTACCCAATAGCTGAGAAAGCTATATAATGAAGTCCTCAATCTAATGATTGTCCTAACTGTTGATAATCAATTCCTTCCATATCGATTGGGAGGCTAATGTTGATGTGTAATCCACCAATCAGAGCTTGCATTCACTCTCATTTCCAATGACTCCTTCAATGAATAGGATAAGTCTCTGAAGTTTTCTGTCCCTCATCAGGCAGATCGGGATGACACAAGATGGTGTCCTAGCTTGTCGTTCTCTGGCTAATCAGTTTCCTCTCCAGAATAATGGTCAACACAATGCACTAACGACTCGTTTGTGATGGATAGACTCAGCTTATCAATGTGCTTTTGCATGCCATGTCCTTGTTGTAGCTCATATATTAGAGGACCAATTTGTTGTAGTATCAGGTATGGATCAATCCAGTCAGATCCAAGTTGCTTTCACTCTGCTTGTACATAACACAACCATACCCAGTTGCTGCATTAAAATATGTGCTCGCTTGGCTTAGCCTTGTGGTTATGGCACTTGACACAGAAACCGAGGCTGAAGAAATCATGCCTGAATTCAACAGGTAAACTCAGTTTCTTTATCCAGTCAAAAGCATCATCTCGTGACCTTTCTTCTCTCACAACATTGGCCAGATGTTACATTTAGATAAATCAACCAGAAAAGGACATTACAGAAATAAATATTTTCAATCTGGATGCTATTGTTACAAGCTATACATCCAATGTTTCAATTTTGTTTACTAGATGGAGCTGCTAACATGATGGAGAGACTTTGTAAAATATATCTAGACACAAGGAAAGATTATAAATATTGGAATCAGTGAAGCATTGAATGAGCTTTAGTCAGTTTTCAATTGGTTCAGTGTGATTAAAAAGTTGTGTAACTATTCAGATCAGTGATAGTTTTCACAGTTGTTCAGTCACTGAACAAGTAAATTTCTGTTGAAAGTTAAACTTATTTGTGACCTTACAACAGAGTACAAGTGATAGTAGCCTGTAGCAAACATTAAAGAAGTATTAAAATAATTTTTAGGTGTGCTGGACTTCGAATCATTTTCACGAAATGATTTTAAAGAATTTGCCTGAGAAAAGAATAGGCTTACAACACTTTATGTTATCCCTTACTAAAAAAAATACATCTTCAACGCGGGTCGAACAAAAAATGCGATTTATTAAACTGTATAGCAACCACAGAAATCCAAAACAACACATACAAACAATTAATAAACACGTGCCTGGTCAGGACTTGATTTAAACGCTAATAAATAATATTGTTGCGTCATCGAGGTCACGTGACTGGTGTGGCGCCCTCTATTTTCTAGAACTATCTTGTTCTTTCATGAATGCTCTAGTA